GTGTGTGTGTGTGTGTATATATATATATATACATATATATATATATACATACATATATATATATATATATATATATATATATATATATATACTGTGTGTATATATATAAATATATTAAAATACATACACTTACATCAATATTACCTGATTAAAAAAATGTTAATTTTAAGGACTGTATGGTTAAAATAAACAATCTTAAATGAGCATGTTATTCTTCGAGTGGGATATGTTTTAGGAAAAATATATTTTCCAGTTTTCTTCTTCTGCAAAAATAACAGAAATAATAAAAACAATAGTTTTTCCAAAAGAATAAAATGTTAATTTTGTGAGCTGTACAGCTGAAATAAATAACAACATGTGGTAGGGTATTTCTCTTGTGGAAGGAAAATGTATTTTACAGCATTATCGTTGTGAATGTGGAGCGGTAAGAAAGTTTCAAAAGTCACATTCAAAAGCAAACTGATCCGTGCACTAGTGTGAACTGATGGTCTGCAGCATGTGATTTGTGCACATGTACTTGACAATTTGATTGCACTGAACATTCATTTTAGTGCAGTTTGAAATAGCAGAACTGTTTATGCAACCATAAATCTTCTACGCTTGTGTGACTACTTTTAAGACTAATTTATGTTTATATTAAAGGGACAGCCTGGTATATTTTTAAGTGATGATCTGTCGAATAGTTAGTATCTTAAAAGTTTCCTGCGGGATCAATAAAGTTCTGTCTTGTCTTATCAGTCATAGACAGTAAGGAGACGTCTTTGTTCAAGTTAGACAAATGGCTTCATATACAAGTGCCTGTTTTATTGTTTTTCAGGCTTGTAAAATAACCTTTATTTAACTCAAAAATGGCATTCTGGTCGCACAGTGATAGCTGGACGTGGGCACCAGTGACCCATGCAACCCAAAAAGGAAGAAGCGACTAACGATGATGGATGGATGGCATACTGGTATGACAGAACTCTATATTAAGTAGTAAGGACCATGCTGTTATGATGAATGTTCACCTGATCAACACATCTACCTGTAGGCAGTCAGAACTTTACTCAAGTCCCTGCAGGTTGGTTCATGCAGCAGCATCAAGACACCTACATTTACACAGTCTCCACATACACATACAGTTGCACACAAACACAGACGCTGATGGGCTGAGAAAACCGCAACAACCTAATTCCATCCTTCAAGATGATAATGCTCAGAACCAAGATCGTCAAACAGTGCCTCCAGAATTTGAGAGTGGAGAGGATGGATTGGTGGGATGGGATCTTAAAGAGCACACTGCGCATGCTCCAGTGATAGACACCACCTCTGGTTGTCCATGAACAACTCTTGGTTGAGAAACGGGATTCAGCATCCAACAGCAAAGTGTGACAAGGCTGTTGAGCAGCATGAGGAGGAGCAGAGCTGCTGTGGTTAAGTATGAATCTACTGAAGTCCCCGACAGTGAAAAATGATGCTTACTTTACAAATATGTGTTTCTTTTTCCGTATTACTGTGGAGGATTGCAATCATCCAAACCATCAATATACTCTAAGTGAATACAAACAGGAGAATATTTCAGGAAAATTTTGGCACATTTTTGGGGTGAGATATTCACACTTTTAGCCGCCTTGCTCACTGCACAGATGCACAATTCTTATACGCAGTATCTCCTTAAAGGTGATCAATCAAGCTTTCCAGTGGTATAAACAGGGTTAGACATTATTCACTAGAATTTCATTTTCAGGCGTTTTTCAATAGTTCATTTGCCAGAACATGTGATCTGATGAGCCTGATGGATAATGGCATCTCCAGGTGTCTTACAGTCACTTTCAAATATACACAGAGCCACATAAATAAGCACCTGAGCATCAGGTGGCCCAGCTTCCTCCCGGATCAGTAGCAAATGACTCTGTCCATCCACCAGCACTTCCTTTTTATACCTTCCACCTGACAAGAACAATGAAAGTGATGGACAAATTATTCAGCAGCATGACAGGAAGTGCATTTTGAAACATTACCTGTCAAGCTGAACAAATTACATTCAAACATCTCTTTAAAAAGGTACAAAACAGACAAGCCGATTACTCTGCAACCACAAACAAAGTTTTAGTTGTTTTTACCATCAGGCCTCTCAATTGCAGCATAACTGCCTGTGATGTATTTGTTCACCAGCGCTGACTTGCCACTTCGAAGACTTCCCAGAACGCCCTGAGAGAAGAAGGAAGGAAATATAACAAAAAGATGTTTTCAGGTTCAGCGATGAAACACGGGGCAGAAAATAGAATTTTTAAACCAAGTTAAACCATACAGACTTTCTGTTCCTCTGGCACGTTTAGTGACTCTCTGTCACTTCTGCTTCTATTTGTGCTGTTTGATAGAGTTCAGAAATGGAAGCAGCGATATGTTTGTCCTGTTACAAGAAAGATTCCTGTCCTATAAACTCCATTCTCTTTATCTTTATCACCATCCATTATCTTTTACCCGCTTCTTCCATTTGGGGTCACGGGGGTCACCGGTGCCCATGTCCATCCATCACTGTGCGAGGGGCGGGGGACACCCTGGACGGGTCTCCAGTCCATCACAGGGACACATAGAGACAAACGAGACAAACAACCATTCACTCTCTCACTCTCACCTAGAGACAATTTAGAGTTACCAATCAGTCTAACATGCATGTTTTTGGTCTGTGGGAGGAAACTGGAGTACCCAGAGAAAACCCACGTGCACGGAGAGAACATGCAAACTCCACCCAGAAAGGCCCCTGGACTGGGATTTGAACCAAGAGCCTGCTTGCTGAGAGGCAGCAGCTCTACCAGTTGCACCACCGTGCTGCCCTACTGTAATTCTAATCAAAGCCAAATAAAGACCCAGTCCCAGTTTTGAATTGTATCCAGTTCACTCACCAGTCTCAGCTCTGGGATGGATCTGCTCAGCGTCCACTCCTGACTGTTGGCAATATTTACTACGAAGAAAGACAGAGACAAACGGTCAGTGAGGCAGAGACACGGTGAAAGATTTATTGTTTCAATTATATACAGAGAAGAAAAAGAACGGGCATCTTAACAGCCTCTTTAAAGAGGTAATAAATTGCACATCTGCATTACTGGCTGCACATGTGGCTTTGCAGATCACATCAGTGAACCTTGAAGTCACATGGAGGCATCCACGGATATGCAGCTACAGCATCCTTATCACGAGCAGCTGTGTATTGATCTGCTCAGGACCTGTACTGGATGGTTCAGTCTTTTACATTTCACATTTTTAAAGTAAACTGAATTCATTGACATTTTGTATTTCTCACTAATTTGGTGACTGGGCTGACAGTAAATGAAATTTGGACACACAAAAGTGAAATGACCTAGGAAACTCCAATATCCAGTGGATATAAAAAGTCTCTACCCTCCTGGTTTTGAGAAGTAAAAAAAAAAGAAATTGTGACAAATCCTGTCACTAATGTGGCATAAATCCTGCTGAACTAGAAAACAAATGAGTGATAGTAGAAATGTCAAATTAAGCACCTTTAAACTAAAACTATATTGAAGCATCTCCTTTAAACTTTCAGTTTTGTTAGGAAGGAGTCTAACAGCATATCGATTGGTAATATTTTCCCAATCGTCAATGCCAAAGTGCTCCATAGTGAAGAGGAAAGACAGGAACAGGTTCGTTGCTCTTAGCAGACACGTTTGATTTTGCAATAAGTCTTGGCAACGTTTCTAAATGGACACATTAAAGAAGAATCATTATGCTGTTTTTTTATTTAAGATAGATCGTTGTCAGTCCCTTAACAGAACAGAACATTTAAAAGCATTTAATAGTTTCTGTTTGGATGTCTTATTATAGAATGAATGAGTGAATTTAATGAATAACTATGACAGACTTGTCATCATGTAAAATTTATAGATTTTTTTAGGTGTCCACATCCACGTTCTCCTGGTTTGTGCAATAGACCAGAAAAAAATATACATGGGTACACCTTGGAAGCAAAACAGAAGTATTTTTATTTTTTGCTGGGCATTTAAAATGAGATTGTCTTGACTTGTTAAAGTGTCAGGAAGATGTGTGGTGAATAGGACCTAAAGACGCAGATTTGAGGACTTGACAGGTTGACAGATTTGAGTTTCAACAAACATTTTGTTGCTTCTGGTTCTTTATTTGACACAGTTACTAACAAAAAATCAGCCACTTCACTTAATAACCAAACTTCTACAAATCAAATCCCTCCTACAAGTCAATCCTCAGTTAATCACACCTTCTCTTTTTCTCCATTCTCAGTCAGTGAGGTCAATAAACTGTTAAAAGATCTTGATCCTAAAAAATCTGCAGGTCCAGATGAACTTCCACCTTATTTCTTAAGGCTGGCTGCTCATATCATCACAGTCCCTGTGACCCACATCTTCAATCTCTCCATAAGACAAAACTCCATCCCAGACACTTGGAAAACAGCCTTTGTTCTTCCTTTGCTGAAGGGAGGTGACCCCACCTCACTGAACAACTATCGACCAATCTCTAAACTCTGCATTTTAGCCAAGATTCTAGAAAAACTGATAAACTCTCAAATCAAAATGACCTGGACTCATTTAACATCTTACCTCCACATCAATCTGGTTTCAGGAAACAACACAGCACAACCACTGCTTCACTGAAGGTTCTTAATGACATTGTTGAAGCACTGGATGCTAAGGATTATTGTGCTGCACTTTTCTTAGACCTGTCTAAAGATTCTGACACTGGATCATAACATCTTGTGTCAAACTCTCAGAAATCGGTTTCTCAGATCACACCATTGGTTGGTTCTCTAACTATCTTTCAGACCGGAGGCAATGTGTTCAACATAATGGTACTTCCTCCAGTTATTTAACATTCAACAATGGTGTACCACAAGGCTCAGTCTTGGGACCCACCCTCTTTACAATCTACATACATAATGTAGGTAAAAACATCCCTAATGCATCCATACATTTCTATGCTGATGACACAGTTATTTATTGTCGAGCTAAAACTGTTGCTAAGGCTTTCCAGCTTTTGAAATCTGCATTCAACATCATCCAGACAGATTTGTTTCGCCTCAAACTTGTCCTAAATGCCGAAAAAACCAAAGGGATGCTTTTTTCAAATAGAAAGTTGGCCCCAGCAGTTCTTCCTCCGATTTTATCCTCAAATGGTGTCCCCATTGAGTTTGTTGATTCCTATAAATATTTGGGTATCTTGGTCGACTCACATCTCTCTTTTAAGCTCCATGTGGAAAACTTGGTAAAGAAACTGAAAGTTAAACTGGGTTTCTTTTTCAGAAACAGATCCTGTTTAACCCTGAATGCTAGAAAACGCCTTGTATCTGTGACTTTCCTTCCCTCCATTGATTACGGTGACATTATTTACATGAACGCTCCTACAAGAACCCTGCAGATGTTGGATGCTGCAGATGTTGGATGCTGTCTATCATGGTGCACTAAGATTCATAACTGGCTGTGATTATCGTACCCACCACTGCACCCAGTATTCACTGGTTAACTGGTCATCATTAACTTCACGCAGACTCTCTCACTGGTACATTTTCATCTTTAAATCACTTCTTGGTCTGTTGCCTTCATACATCTCCTCCTACATGTCTCTGCGTGAGTGCAGCTACAGCGTGCGCTCTCAGGACATCATTACCTGCAGTGTTCCCTCAATGAGGACTGAACTAGACAAAAGGACCTTCTCCTATTCTGCTCCTGTTTCCTGGAATATCTTACAAAAAGATTTGAAGCTCTCGACCTTTGACCTCTCTAAGTGGCTTTAAGAATCTGTTGGACACCTGGCAGGGTCCAATGCAGACATGTTCCTGTTTTTAGTTTTCTACATTTGTCTTGGAATCTAGCTGTTTTTTGTTTTGTTACCTTTTTCCTTTTAGCCATCCTATTTGTTAAAAAAAAAAAAAAAAAAAAAAACTAGTATGAGTTTTTATAACTGTTTATTGTTGTTGCTGTTGTCCATTGTTGTCATCTTTCTTTGTTGAAATCAGGTCTCTCTTGTAAATGAGTCCTTGAGGCTCAATGGGATTTATCTGTCTAAATAAAGATTGATTGAAAAGGGTTAACCGATGAAAAAGTGAAATGTGACAGGAGAACCTACCAGGAGGCCTGATGGTGTAGGAACAAGATGAAGAAAGAAATATTCAGATTTATCAAACTGTGCGCATGCATGTTTGTGCGCACAGTTTATTTCCTTCATACATTCCACCAGTGGTGGAGAAAGTACTCAAACACTCTACTTACGTAAAAGTACAAATAAACAGACAAAAATGTACTCTAGTAAAAGTAGAAGTACCACATTAACATTTTACTTAAGTAAAAATAAGTACTTGTTTTAAAAATACATAAAGTATTAAAAGTAAAAGTACTTGCTTAATGTATTACCTAATGTAATGGTCTACATATCTTTAAGGCTGCGTACCATATGTATATTTTCTGTAATACATTAATAGTGTTGAGCCATTTTAATGAACGATGCTGCAGATAATACATGTTTTTATTGTGTTTACTCTGTGACACAGTTCAACTTGGACTTGTGATTCTGTGTCAGAATTTCAGGGATGACATGCAGAGTTAAATGACATTAATCAAAATAAGAAAGAGGAATGATTTTACCTTTGAAAGTTTCTATTTAACACAAATCAAAACCAACGTGTCATTTTAACTGCAGTAAACACATTTCAGTAAAAGTTGTCTGATGAAAAAAGGAGCATTAGACACAACTAACAAAGAAACAGGCTCTGATCAGTTCAACTCCAGTTTGTCATCAACTCTAGTTAAAATATGTCTATTCAACCTTGTAATGGATCAATATTGAAACAATATTTTAATTTTCTGAGACAATTTTTAAAACTTGGACCTGAGTGTCGAGCCATTTGGATACATGTCTTGTCTCTTAACATCCCATGAAGTGACACATTTTAATATTGCAGCAAGAATTTCTTGTTCAAGTTCAGAAGAAGTTGGTTTTCAAAGTTTTCTGAGTCCAGTCTGGCTCTTTTGAGAGAGAGAGAATCTGTCCTGTTGCAATGTATAATCTTTCAATAGACTTTCAATAATCTTTCAATAAGGCCGTGGGTGGCACGTACCGTATCTTCTGGCTGACTTTCTTCGGTGGAATCCATTTTGGGTGTGTTAGTGATGCTGCGGGTGCACCCAGCTCAGTGACATATATACCAGAATATAGCTCTTCTTGAAGGCGGGGCCTAACGTTACCTGCACACTTTGCAGTGATTCAATGGACCAGCTCCTCTCACCATTAGTTACTTTCAAACTAATGAATAAATAAAAAAGTTGCAACGTGAATGTAACTTGTAACACAACGCATTATAGAAATGTAGTGTAGTAGAAAGTACAGATACTTGATGTAAAATGTAGTGGAGTAAAAGTAAAAAAGTACCCATGTTTAACTCTACTTAAGTAAAGTACAGATACATGAAAAGTGTACTTAAGTACAATAATGAAGTACTTGTACTTAGTTACATCCCACCACTGCATTCCACCGAACATGGAACTGGGCACAACCTCTCCTGACACACTTCCAGTTAAATACATATAATAGATGCAATTACAGGTGCTGGTCATAAAATTAGAATATCATGAAAAAGTTGATTTATTTCAGTAATTCCATTCAAAAAGTCAAACTTGTATATTATATTCAATCATTACACACAGACTGATATATTTCAAATGTTTATTTATTTTAATGTTGATGATTATAACTGACAACTAATGAAAACCCCAAATTCAGTATCTCAGAAAATTAGAATATTGTGAAAAGGTTCAATATTGAAGACACGTGGTGCCACGCTCTAATCAGTTAATTAGCTCAAAACACCTGCAAAGGCCTTTAAATGTTCTCTCAGTCTAGTTCTGTAGGCTACACAATGGGGAAGACTGCTGACTTGACAGTTGTCCAAAAGACGACCACTGACACCTTGCATAAGGAGGGCAGGACAGAAAAGGTCATTGCTAAAGAGGCTGGCTGTTCACAGAGCTCTGTGTCCAAGCACATTAATAGAGAGGTGAAGGGAAGGATATTATGTGGTAGAAAAAAGTGTACAAGCAATAGGGTTAATTGCACCCTGGAGAGGATGGTGAAACAAAACCCATTCCAAAATGTGGGGGAGATTCACAAAGATTGGACTGCAGCTGAAGTTGGTGCTTCAAGAACCACCACACACAGACGTATGCAAGACATGGGTTTCAGCTGTTGCATTCTTTGTGTCAAGCAACTCTTGAACAAGAGACAGCGTCAGAAGAGTCTCGCCTGGGCCAAAGACAAAAAGGACTGGACTCCTGCTGCGTGGTCCAAAGTTATGTTCTCTGATGAAAGTAAATTTTGCATTTCCTTTGGAAATGAAGGTCCCAGAGTCTGGAGGAAGAGAGCAGAGGCACAGAATCCATGTTGCTTGAGGTCCAGTGTCAAGTTTCCACAGTCAGTGATAGTTTGGGGTGCAATGTCATCTGCTGGTGTTGGTCCACTGGGTTTTCTGAGGTCCAAGGTCAATGCAGCCGTCTACCAGGAAGTTGTAGAGCACTTCATGTTTCTTTATGTTGACCAACTTTATGGAGATGGAGAGTTTATTTTCCAACAGGACTTGACACCTGCACACAGTGCCAAAGCTACCAGTACCTGGTTTAAGGACCATGGTATCCCTGTTCTTAATTGTCCAGCAAACTCGCCTGACTGTAACCTCATAGAAAATCTATGGAGTATTGTGAAGAGGAAGATGTGATACACCAGACCAAACAATTCAGAAGAGCTGAAGGTCACTATCAGAACAACCTGGGCTCTCAGAACACCTGAGCAGTGCCACAGAATGACTGACTTCATGCCACGCCACACTGCTGCAGTAATCCAAGCAAAAGGAGCCCCAAGTAAGTATTGATGCTGTAAATGTTCATACTTATCAGTTGGTCAACATTTCTAAAAATCCATTTTTTACTGTCTTAATAATATTCAAATTTTCTGATATACTGAATTTTGGGTTTTCATTAGTTGTCAGTTATCAACATTAAAATAAATAAACATTTGAAATATATCTGTCTGTGTGTAATGAATGAATATAATATACAAGTTTCACTTTTTGAATGGAATTACTGAAATAAATCTACTTTTTCATGATATTCTAATTTTATGACCAGCACCTGTGTGTTTTGCATGTGGGATTCTCGTCTAGATGCAGCAAAATAAAGAATTTACTTGACTGTGATTCAGAGACACTCCTAAATAAGTAGTGGTGAGTAAAAACCTGTTTTCCACAGATGAGCTAAGAGGAGTGTGTGTCTTGTTGGTCGTCATTGAATGAAGTGAACTGGGGAACCTGATCTGCTGGCGGAGCACTCATGTGGTTGAGGCATTTCCAACTTTAATCGTGTTTGATAACTTTGTATTTACTGTAAACACAGAGGAGCACATGAGCTCCATATAACTTAGAGGCTTATTTTTAAAATAATTGATTGTAAACAGGAGACACTGCGCTTTAACAAAGAGTTTCAGTTACGGCATGAGGACGTTTTATCTGGGCCTAATATAAATGAGGCCGTCCCATCCAGATGGCGTGGCACAGTTCAGGGATGACTGAGAAATACCTGATCAGTATTTTGTCAGTGTCATTCCCAACAAACACACTGTTCCCCAATTCTTCTAGTGGTAATGTCCTCATGCAGAGCCACAGTTGCCATTGTTGGGAACCAGGTGCACACAACTTTTTGTGTGTACACACCACTGATACATGAGGCCCTTGATGTCTGTGACATAAACTGGTATGGAGAAGTTAAAGACGGAGTAAAAAAATAAAAAAATACTGCAGCCCAACATCTGTCAGTGTGTCTGGACTGTACATTCAACAACTGGCCAACATGTTCATTTAGACATGCCACCAATCCTCTTTTAACGCCATCCTGAGTCAGTCATGAACATGTTCACTGCTGAGTTGAAGTAACCAATTTTGCATCAATAAATACCAACTCTGGACTCAGGGTGCACTGGAGCACTGAAACTGGGGTACTCAGACAAAAATATGGCAAGAACTAGAAAAACATACAAGTCTAGAAAATGTTTACATTATCCAACCATTTTCCAGAAGAAATGCTTTACATTTTTATTAAACAATACTAAAATAAATCTTTTTTAGTCATTTCATTTTTTTGAGCAGTCTAAACAAAAATATTTTTGCACAAATAACGAGTCCTTGTTTACACACAGCACACATACAGTACATGTGCAAAGTAACAGAGAAGCTGTTTGCTTAAGAAAATGACAACCGCCTAAACAAACGTCACGCTGAGGTTTGATAGTAGCTAATGTAGTGTTTGTCTTTTGTAAAACCGCTGTATTGTTTTTGAGAAAAAGGCAGTAATAAAAGACTAAAAAAAAACTATGATCATCTTATAATTAGAAATGTCAGAGTTGTATTTTTTTCTCCTTTCAGCAGTTCCTCTTTTCAGGGGTCGCCACAGCGAGTCATCCTCCTCCAGCCCACTCTGTCCTCCCCGACTACCTCCATGTCCTCTCTGACTGCACCCATAGACCTCCCCTGGATTTTTTCAAAAGACAGTTGTGTAAAAGTACCACTGCCTGCAGCTCCTCCTCCAAGATGGCCGCTAATTAATCACACCTGACGGCCATCAGACTGAGGAGGCTCTCCTACTACAAAAGGCTGCAGTCCAGTGCTACTCTTCGCTGGAGCATATCACCTTCCATGGTAGTTGTGCTTCAAGCCTTTTAGGCTTAGTCTCTCCAGTACTAACCTTGTTCTCTTGTTCCTAGTTATCCTGATTCCTCGGCTTGTTCAAAGGACCCCTCGTGATCCTTCGATTCCTGACTCCTCGTGTCCTGTTCTTGGTTCCTTGGATCTCCTCGTGACCTGTTCTTGGTTTGCTGACCCCCTTGGGTCCCTCCTTGGTTCAACCTCTCCTGCGCCTGGATCCCTTTTGCCTGGTGCCTCTAATCCGGCCAGTGCCTGCCCTGCCAGCCGCTGGACTCTCTCTCTGGAGCTCCCCGGAGGACTGGAACCCACCTCTGGATCAAACTGTAAGAGATTCACAGAAAACAATCTTTCTACTATTTGGAACTCTGCCTCATCCTGACTGTCCTCCTCTAACTCCTCCAGGAGCTGCAGAGGAGCTGTACCAGAACTGTTGTCTTTTCACTTGTAAATAAACACCGTTTCTTTGTATCCCACCTGAGTCTGTCTCGTTCCGGGTCTCATACAAATCTGGGTTCCCCTCGGTTATGACAGAAATGCTCCAGCCAAAACAGACCCAGAATGAGACCGGGAGCGAACAGACAACCACCATTTCACAGGTGGAACGGATCTCCAGACTGGAGACCATGTTGCAACAGGTTCTGACCCAGCAACGTGCAGCCCAGTCCAACATGCAGGAACTCGGAGGTATGATTTACTCCCTAAATCAACAACTTCTACCTCCTCTTCCTCCAGATCCGACCGACACGCCTGTCCCCAGCGTTCCTCGTGAGACGCCTGTCGCAACCTCTCATGGTCCACAGCTGCTCGTCAAACCGTCTGAGCTGTTCGCCGGAGATCCCGACCAATGTGGGGGTTTTCTGCTGCAGTGCAGACTCGTTTTCGAGGGAGCCCCGTCTCTCTACAGCACAGACTCTGCAAAAATTATTTACTTTATTAACCTTCTCAAAGGTAACGCTCTACGTTGGGCTACTTCTTTCATGCAGTCCCACGTGGACCCCCCGGCTACTTACCCCCAACTCCTGAAGGAGTTTCGGCGGATCTTCGATCGCCCCCTGCAGGCTTCAAACGCAGTAAAACGTCTCCTGGGATTACGTCAAGGCCGCCGTCCTGTTTCTGAGTACGCCCTGGAGTTCCGGATCCTGGCGGCTCAAACGAGGTGGGACGAACTCGCTCTCCAAGGTGCGTTCCTAAACTCTCTCTCCGACCAGATAAAAGACCAAATCGCTGCATGAGACGAACCGGAGGGGTTTGACCAACTTATCGATATGGCCATTTCCATTGATGACCGTTTCCGGGAGCGGAGGCGAGAACGGGACTACAACTCCCAGAAACCTTCCACTTCCGGGTTCGCGGCCCCTTCAGGTGAACCTCGTTATTTTAAAACAAGGAAAGAGAATCATCTTTTGAAGACGCCCCCGGGTGTTAATTCTTCTTGTTTGTCTCCCCAGAACAATTTTCTCGTGCCTCCTGAGCCAGAACCCATGCAGATCGGGCGAACACGGTTGACGTTTGAAGAGCGAGAGCGCCGTAGAAACACTAACCTCTGCATGTACTGTGGCAACCCCGGTCATTATTTACCTCTCTGCCCGTTTCGGGGAAACGAGCGAGCCCACCAGTAAAGCGGGAGATACTGGTGGGTAACTCAGCTCTTACCTCCCCATTTAAACTCCTCTTGCCCACAGTTATTCAAATAAATAATTCTCGTGTTTCCTTATTGGCCTTGGTTGACTCGGGCGCCGAACAAAATCTTATCAGTTCGGACCTGGTTGCCAAATATTCTTTACCCACTCGCGAGATTCCTCCTATTTCTGTTTCGGGTGTAACTGGTAAAACGTTGGCGCTCGTCCAACAGAAAACCATCGAGCTTCATGTTATCATCTCTGGCAACCACCACGAGATGACTGACTTTTTTGTATTCGACTCCTCCGTTTCTCAGATAATTCTAGGCTTCCCCTGGCTAAAGGCGCACAACCCAGACATTAATTGGGAGCTAGGGCGAGTTGAGAAGTGGAGCAATAAGTGCCTCAAAAACTGTCTGCGCTCCGCGATCGCCGGGCAGCCAGTGGTCACTTCTCCTAGTGAGAAAGTAGACCTCTCCGCTGTTCCCTCTGCCTACCACGACCTTGCGGCGGCGTTTAGCAAACGGAGAGCCTTATCACTCCCTCCTCACCGTCCCTACGACTGTGCCATTGATTTACTCCCTGGCGCCCCCTTGCCGTTTAGTCGACTTTATAATCTCTCGGGTCCTGAGAGGGACTCCATGAAAGAATATATCAACGAGTCCCTTGACTCTGGTATTATTCGTCCCTCCACGTCTCCCGTCGGTGCAGGTTTCTTCTTTGTTTCAAAGAAAGATAAGACTTTACGTCCCTGCATCGACTATCGCGCTTTGAACAACATCACTGTCAAAAACAAATATCCACTCCCTCTAATCAATTCCCTACATGAACAATTGCAGTCCGCCACTATTTTTACCAAATTAGATTTAAGAAATGCCTACCACCTCGTTCGCATAAGAGAGGGCGACGAGTGGAAAACAGCATTTAAAACACCCCTCGGCCATTTTGAATATTTAGTTATGCCTTTTGGTTTAACAAATGCCCCCGCGGTTTTTCAGGCCCTCGTAAACGACGTTTTGCGCGACTTCGTCGGCGACTTTGTGTTTGTTTATTTAGACGATATCCTTATTTTTTCCCGTGACCCCGCTCTGCATGTGGAACAGGTAAGGAGGGTTCTCCAGAGGTTACTGGAGAACCAATTATTTGTTAAGGCCGAGAAGTGCCAATTTAATGTCTCCTCGGTTCCCTTCCTTGGTTTCATTTTTGGGGAAGGCCACTGCAGGACCGACCCAGAAAAGACTAAAGCTGTGGTTGAATGGCCTAGACCCGAGTCCAGGAAACAATTGCAACGCTTCCTGGGCTTTGCAAACTTTTATAGACGCTTTATTAAAAATTATAGTCGAGTGGCTGCCCCTCTTTCTCAGCTCACCTCCACCTCCAGACCGTTTATCTGGTCGCCTGAGGCTGAAACTGCTTTCTTTAAATTAAAAACTTTATTTTCTTCTGCACCCATCCTCTCTCACCCTGATCCACGCAGACAGTTTATCTTGGAGGTTGACGCTTCAGATACAGGGGTAGGGGCGGTGCTGTCTCAACGATCCTTGGAGGACAACAAGGTTCATCCCTGCGCTTTCTTTTTTAAACGCTTATCCCAAGCAGAGCAAAACTACGACGTGGGAAACCGTGAACTCTTGGCAGTTAAGCTGGCACTGGAGGAATGGCGGCACTGGCTGGAGGGCACGGAGACCCTGTTTTTGATTTGGACTGACCATAAAAACTTGACTTATCTGCGGGACGCTAAATGCCTGAACCCCCGCCAGGCACGTTGGTCACTGTTTTTCACCAGGTTCAACTACGTTCTTACCTTTAGGCCCGGCTCCAAGAACGTCAAGCCGGACGCACTGTCCCGTCAGTTCGCGCCCCCCCCCTGACAACACGGAGACCGAGGAAACCATCCTTCCCTCCACCTGCATCGTTGGGGCCCTCACGTGGCCCATCGAGGAGGAGATCCGGGAAGCCTGGAAGGTGGAACCAGACCCTGGTGGTGGCCCCCCTGGAACCTTGTTCGTGCCTACTGCTCTACGCCCAAAGGTACTACACTGGATTCACAATGTCAAACTCTCATGTCATCCAGGTTCCACCCGCATGATCTCCCTGGCCAGGACTCACTTCTGGTGGCCAGCCATGTCTGCGGATATTCGAGAGTTCGTTGCTGCCTGTCCCACGTGCGCCCGCAATAAGACGGGCACCCAACCCCCCTCCGGCCTCCTGCAACCTCTGCCCACCCCGAGCCGTCCGTGGTCCCACGTCTCGATGGACTTTGTTACCGGACTCCCACCCTCTGAAGGTAACACAGTCATTCTAACCATAATCGATCGCTTTTCCAAAGCGGTCCACTTCATTCCTCTGTCCAAGCTCCCCTCTGCAATGGAGACGGCGCACCTGCTGACGCAGCACGTGGTCCGACTGCACGGTATCCCCTCAGACATCGTGTCGGACCGTGGACCACAGTTCGTGTCCCAGGTTTGGCGCTCTTTTTGCAGGACATTGGGAGCCACCACCAGTCTCACCTCAGGCTACCACCCACAGTTGAATGGCCAGGCTGAACGGGCCAACCAAGAACTGGAATCCATCCTGCGCTGCATGGCAGAGAAGGACCCGTCAGCCTGGAGTCACCATTTGGCTTGGGTTGAGTACGCCCACAACACCCATCGCTCCACCGCCACCGGCCTGTCTCCTTTCGAAGCCTCCTTAGGCTACCTACCTCCTCTGTTCCCCGGCCAAGAGGTGGACTGCGCGGTCCCCTCCGTGCAGCATCATTTCCGACGGTGCCGCAGGGTCTGGCGCCAGGTGCGGTCCGCACTTCTCCGCACGGCCGCCCAGATGAAGAAAGCCGCTGACCGTCAACGTTCCTCGGCCCCTCTCTACCAAGTGGGCCAAGAAGTGTGGCTGTCCACCTGGGACATTCCTCTCAAGGACACCCCCCGAAAAATGGCTCCACGCTTCATCGGCCCATTCCCCATCACCCAGCTCATCGGCCCCTCTGCGGTGAGGCTGCAGCTCCCTAGGACCATGAGGATCCACCCGACCTTCCATGTGTCCCAGGTCAAGCCAGTCCTCACCAGCCCTCTGTGTCCTCCCTCTGACCTCCCTCCTCCACCCCGCCTGATCGACAACCACCCTGCGTTCACGGTCCGATCCATCCGCGACGTGCGACGCAGGGGCCGAGGATTCCAGTACCTCGTCGATTGGGAGGGGTACGGTCCTGAGGAGAGGTCATGGATTCCCCGATCCTTCATCCTCGACCCCAGCCTCATCACCTCCTTCTTCAAGGATCATCCCGACAAGCGTCTCAGGTCGCCTGGAGGCGATTCTTGAG